ACGCCGGGAGGGCGGGGGAGGGGGGAGCCGGTACAGCGGGAGAGCAGCGTGCCGGTACAGTGGGAGAGCAGCATGCCGGTACAGCGGGAGAGCAGCGTGCCGGTACATTTACATGCAGATGCTCATTTGCTGCCTCCGTTTCGGATGGTTCCTCTCCCAGGAGATCACCCACGGCTGGTACCTGTCTGGAAGACCACCTCCTTCCCGCCGACCCCCGCCGCCTCCAGGTTGATGAAGGCTCTGACCAGCGATGCCCAGGGGTGCTGTGTGATGAAGCCATGACTGGCCTAGAGGCAGCAAGGCAATGGATACGACGACAAACCTGAGCCCTTTATTCCGCCGCGCACAGTGCAGAACCATCAAATGTGACAGACTGCTTTATTTATTCAGCAGATGGTTTTAACCAACGCAGCTGAGAAAGAGAGTCAGCCAGTGTGTGGGGGAATTGGGGGTTAGGGACCTTATGCAGGGGCCCATTGGTGGGTTCACTCAGTTGACCATGAGATTTGAACAGATGATGTTCTGTTGACGAGCACTGAGTACAAACCCGCAGAACCACACTCCTCACTCCTTCAACATGCTGCACTGAAATTTCTTTGTACTGCACTATATGATAATGAATTTCAGTGCTCAGCACCAGGACGTCCTTATTTTGCCAAGTTCAAAGAGTCCCTGGGTCAGAAAGGGAGGGGCTTGCGTCCCACTTCTTTAACCAATCACAGTCTTCATCGTATGACGTCACCGCAGTAATTAAAACCTGTCCGCAGTGTCTGCTGCCTTTCCCTGAGATGAGATTTCACTGTGACTCTCTGCGAGATATGGAGAATGACTGGGGGGAAAAAAAAAACTTAGCTATACACTCAAAGATTTTAAAAAATAAATTTAGAGAAAAAACACACAGATAGTACATACACACACATACATCTCCAGCAGCATTAGTTTACTGCACAGGAATTCATTCATAAACCATTCATTCAGATGTGGTGCACTGTTCATCTTCATCATTATTTCTAGTCTGCTCACCTACAAATAGTATATCTACCTGTGAAAGGAAGGTAAATGCCAACCAAGGGGACACACTGCGGTGACATGAGTAACAATAAATATTATCGGTCAGTTCCATAATCCTGAGCTCATTTCCAACAGTGCCAGTCTGATCTTTTCATACAAGCCCTGCGTCAACCAGCATTTCCTCCGAAACCTCAGAGGCACAGGCGAGGCAGCAAACATAAGAAAGGCCTTTTCATGCGAATCCCGCCCCGTCCTGGATGTCAGCTTTCCCTCATGAGTCATTGCAGGCTGGGAGGGGCCCCAAATTAGCATAATCCTTAGGTGAGCAATTTGGGGGAAAAAAATCACCCATAAAATTATCAGCGTGGTCAATTGCAGTGAGTGTAAGTGTATTTCAAAATACACAAACGGTACGAGCAGTAGCATTTTTAAATACTTTTAGTAGTCCGTGACTCTGCAGGTTAGGACTCTGTGCCTGTGATCGGAAGGTTGCTGGTTCAAAATCCCATGCTTGGCACAGTGATTCTACCACTGGGCCCTTGAGCAAGGTCCTTAACCCCAATCGCCCCAGGGACTGATTGACCCTCTTTCTCACTTGCACTTCACATTGGTTCAAACCAACTGCCGAGTAAAATTTTGAAATAACAATGAGCATAAGCATTTACAAAAGGTCTACAGCCAGCCTCAGGTATACAGGTATATACTGCAGCGAAGAAAAGTGAATTGAAAGTTTTCAGTAGACCGAGCGCTGCTGCCCCCTCTGGTGATGTACCTGAAGCACGTTCTCCTCCGCTCCATTAAACAGGAACACCACCCCATGCTGGAGGGGGGTGGACAGGTTGGCCAGGCAGCGAAGCACCTCCAGCATGACCGCACAGCTGACCGCGTCGTCGCTCGCACCTGCACGCGGGGGACAGACGGCCGCGAGGCGTCAGTGCGTTCAGGGCGCCGCCCCACGGACAACAGCAGGGAGATGTACTGAGCATCACCAATAGCTAGATCTGCCAAATGTGCGGCATAAAAATGAGAAAATATTAAAACTCACGGAGTGCTCATCATATATTAGCGATGTATACATATGCATGATTTTTTTGCAACACTACATAACAGAAAAGCCACAACTGGCTGTAAAGGCCTCAATGCACAGATAAAATCCACCGAGAAATTATATAAGCAGCTGCTTTCTGACCCGGCCGCAGCTCGGAGCGTGTTCCTGGTGTGACTCGGGCAGTTGTTGTGGCCATCCTGTACCTGTCACGTAGGTGTGATATTCGGATGTGCATGTTAATTAATTGATTATGGTTAATTGAACATGCATGGAAAACATTGTTTAGACCCTTTACAATGAAGATCTGTAAAGTTATTTGGATTTTTACAACATTATTGTTGAAATACACAGTCCTGAAAAAGGGACGTTTCTTTTTTTGCTGAGTATATATCTGTGTGTGTGTGTCACCGTTGGCTGGCTTGTGGGCGTGGTGGCAAACAGCGTAAACTGCCTCAGTGAAATATGGAGGTGTGACTTTCTAAAGGGACTGGTTTTACAGCTCTTCTCTGGCACTGCCTGTAGAATCGCAGCAAATACCAGACAGCACCAATGGAGAACAGATAACAGAGATGGGAGCAGTTCTGTGGTGTCTCCCAGCTATTACCGAGATCATTGCCGCCTGTCCGCCAGTTTCTTCAATAAGACACCTTCCCTGCCGGAATGCTGATGTCATGGCCAATGGGAAAATGCACACTGCCGCAGCTCTCCAAGATCGTACCACGAAAACAAAGCCGGCAGTTCATACTATGCAGTCTCATTGTCACGGGAGCTGTTATATGTTACAACCAACCTTGATACTTATCCAGCTGGGCCTCTGCGGTCCAGGACCTGTGAGAGCTGAGAGGCTCAGAAGGACCACCTGCCCTCAGGCAGTCAGACTGCTTAACACTAATAGTCAGGAGTAATTAAACTTGCCTATTCATGCACCAAGTGCTTCACTGGAGCTGTGTTGCACATATCTGGTGCATAACTTTCCTACTGCCTTCAGTGTTCTAACCGCGGAGTCGACTACCTTGCATTTCACTGTGGGTTACAGTCAGACTGTAAGTCTTGCATGTGACAAATAAAGACTACTGAATCCTTCACCTGTGACTTAACAGCTCACCCACGTCTCAGTTTTATTGCCCATGAACAAAAGATGGATCCCAAAACACAAAGAGACAGAGAAACACTGGTAACACGGAAGAGTCTTCTGGGACATGCAGCCCCTCTGCCTCCTATAAATGACTATTCAGTTGTAAATATTTGGAACAACAGAATTATGGGAGAAGCTGTTCAATTGGAGCAGACAGCAGCACACCTAAGTACAAACATGGCGTCAAAACTGATGGTTAGAAAAGGCTGAAATGGGAAGAAGAAAAACTGGATTAGAGCAAAGTGCTACCGCAAGTGTAAACGGGGAAATTAAATCACACAAATCACTAATGCAATTTGCCAGTGGGTTAAGCACATAATTTTTGTTAAAAAAAAAAGATGTGAAATATTCCCACAAAAAGTCACCATTAATTAAAGTATTACAATGAATTATTATAATGACCAGAAAAAGTTTAATATTGCCTGCATTATGTATTTTCATAATAAACTTTTGTGTTAAATATATCTAAGTGTGTCAGTAAAAACTGTTGTGGATTTAACGTTACACCTCTGGGTGGTAACAGGCAGTTTAAGGTTAAATCTTCCCAAAGCAAAAACCGTCTTGCAGAGGAGCTCTGTCTTAGCAGCGAGAAATCAGCAGTAAGCGTGAGACTGAGAGGGCATGTGAAGGGCGAGTCATGTGACCCTGGCTTCCCCGCTGACTGCCGCGGGCTGGGAGTCAGCGCAGGGAAGGGGTCTGCCCAAGCAGCACCGGCTGGGGAGCTGAGACTCGGCGAAGGCTCAACAGAATGTCCTTTGTTTCAGGCAAACCAGATTCAGCCTCAGGGAAATCGACCAAAAAATGGACACTGTGTCTTTGCACTTCTGCTAGCCAGTGAGCTTTTCAACCATGTCGTCTCTGCCAGGTTATAAATGCTTTCCCACCCTATTCCGCATTTAAAACAGGAACTTTAACAAAGCACCATCTAATCTAAGAGACCATATTTTTCTCCATCCATGTCGTGAACAAATCAAGTCCCCTGTACCTCCCTGTTAATAAGACAGTTCCTGATGTCCAGATCTATAAGCCAGCCCAGTTTATGGTTTACAGTAACCCACAGTACCGAGACTGATTTGTATTTCACCATTTGTATTACCCAGTTTGTTCCCTCAATTTATTTTGGTGAGAGCGCAAGCGCTTACAGCCATTTAGGATGGTTAAGTCTCTAATCCATAATCATCCTTCCTGTTAATGCACTTTCATTTCCATTTGCAATGTGTGAACAGTACAAATTCGCAGAAGCAGATGAATGTCTGGATGCCTAACAACACAATCGCTAAATTCCAAATTCCCTCCAAATTGGGAGACCAGTCCTGTCATTAATTCAGATTATTAATCAGTAGTGCTGCGTAACATTTTCTGAAAAGCATGCCTGCATGTTCCCCGTGTGCTGTATGATCCAGCCCCCCCCCCCCAGTGCAGAGACACACGGTGAGACTCCTTGGCATCATTAAACTGCCCGTCGCTTGTGTATCCTGCGATGGACTGGCACACCGCCCAGGGTGACCCCCTGCTGTCCTTCGTCGGGGAAGCGGTTGAAAGATTGATGGATGTTGTGATAAAATAAGAAGTGGAAACCTTGTCTATTTCTAACACCCTCGTCTGCAGATAATAGACACATTTCACCTGGATCAATTAAATGAATTTGCTCACTCAAAAGAGAACACTGCAGTTTACCAATTTGAAGTAAAATCCATCTCATAACAATTAAACCCTAAACTAAAAATAAGACCTGGGAACTTTGTGGAAAAAAAAATGTCAAATTGATACAACAATTGCACTAGACAGACTTAGGACTTGGTCGACCCCAGACTCTCAGTACACCAGCACTGCTGTACCTCTTACATCACCCAACTATTTAGTTAATTTGGCATAACCATGATTTTATCTTATCAGTGACCTCACACACACTCATTTCCCCGGCCCCAGTTTAAAAGCCCAGGTCTGGGATTAAACGTACAGCTATGGAAAGACCTTACAAATTATTAAAAGGCCATCAAATTCAATGTATAACCATCATCATAATACACAGATTTTTACACAACACTGGCCACTTTTGCTCACTATAAATAAGCTTTAGTGATCATCAATAGCACTGTAGCATTATTACACCAGCAAAGTACCGCCAATCAAAAGGGAGTTTTTATATTATGGAAAAAGCTGCATTAAACTACAACCCAGTGGCACCAGGACAGCTGACAGTCAGACCCACAAAACTCTATTGAGGTTTTGGTAAATTTTAAACACTTTCTTTATACCACCTGCAGAATCTTGAAGGTCTTATATAAGAACTCTGGCTTGACTTTTAAATACAGCCAGTTGTCGGGTTAAGAACATCCCAGTTACGGACAGCTGATACTTACGAATGGCCTACAGGTCAGGTTGGGGGGGCATGCACTGGCACAGCACCCCCCAGGCCAAGCAGTCCAGTCCCACCCTCCGGAAATGGCCATCAGCCAGGTGTTACGTGGGCGTCCCCTCGGCCAGGTGTTACGTGGGCGTCCCCTCGGCCAGGTGTTACGTGGGCGTCCCCTCGGCCAGGTGCTACGTGGGCGTCCCCTCGGCCAGGTGCTACGTGGGCGTCCCCTCGGCCAGGTGTTACGTGGGCGTCCCCTCGGCCAGGTGTTACGTGGGCGTCCCCTCGGCCAGGTGTTACGTGGGCGTCCCCTCGGCCTGATCCAGCCGCTTGAGTCCTCAGCAATGAGGATCCTGTGAGCCGGATCACCCTCAGGGAAACGCGCCACATGGCCATAGTGCTGTAACTGACGCTCCCTCACAATGCAGGTAATGTGCCTCATTTGGGACTCCCTGGACTAATTATATATATATATATATATATATGTGTGTGTGTGTGTGTGTGTGTATAATGCCTGGGGACCTGCCTGTATGTGAGATTATTGCTTAAAACTTTGTTTTGTGTAATAATGAACAAAAACAAAAAAATCCCTAAAGGAATACAGGAGCACATACCTGGGCTGTTGGCCACAGTGTCAAAGTGACAATTGGCCAGCATGAAATGTTTGGCCCCACTTTTAGGTTCCAGTTTGACGGCGATGTTGGTGATCTTGTCATAGTAGCTGGTGAAGCCGCCCAGGAAATCGATGCTGAAGGAGCCAGTGGGACGCTGGACGTCCACCGTGATAGAGTGGTGGCCCAACGCGCTCTCTGCCCGGATGCGCTCCATCTGACCTAGAAGGTAGTTCACCGTGTGCACCTCATTCTCCAGGCTGCCCACGGTCCTCGGACCCAAACTGGTGATGTGGTCCAGGTGCTCCCTGGTGAATAATACAAGGAGACCTCAACCACAGCAGTGATGTACAGGTGTGAACATCGTGGAACAAAGTCAACTATCCCATTCAAACACATGGAAAATGAAATCAGCTTTAATAACTGTAAATTCAATTAGAAATAGCTTGGCATAGTGGTTATTTTATTTATGCAAAGATAAAGAGATTGCTGTATAAAAAGCACAAAACAAACTTAACTATGCAATTCGGTAACATGGATAAGGAAACTGAGTATGGTACTTGTAAATCCTTCTTTACATATCTCTGCCTATTAATAATTTACAAAGAGTACAGTAGTGCAACAAGCAAAAAATGTCTTCAAAACATTCCTTTGCTTACGTTTTGGTTGGAAGCTTGCAGTTTAATATCAAACTATACTGCGTTTCTGTCTGAGAATGGCTTTCCACTCATACAATCATGTTACAATTGTAGCATATGCTAAAATACTACTACTGGTGAACAGTTTAAGTTTCTAAAGGTCGTGTGTCCTTAAAAAGAAAGTACTCCTCCTCACAAAGGAAGTCATGGGTCTGTTTGGTATCTCACGGCAAATGTTTCTTCTTTTCATTCTCGTTTTGACAGCGAGAAGACTTTACAGTTACAATACTCATCAACTTTGCTATTGCCACAAATTAATTCGATATTTCTTTAACAAATTATTAAACGCTAGTTCTCCAGATTAAAAAAAAATCTTCCGACTTAGAGATACGTTCATTTATCATCAGCGTAATCTGCAGGACTGTCACTGTTGTGATTTACATATAAACTGCACGTACTGCACTTAAAGACCAGGAAAAGTTACGATTTAGATTTCATACACTTTCAGGTCGTCAGAAAATGAATAAAATATATCTCTCACGTGGTAACAAGCGAAAAGTCTTCCCTTCTCTTAAACCTGTCCAGTATTTAAATAACACACTGAAGATGTCACTAGCGTCAGCATTAATAGTCATTACGGGCTGCTGTAACGCTCGGTGAGATGGATCTGCCGCCTGGGCATTTCCTGATGGGTGCATGCATCCATATTCTAACTTCAAGGCTGGACAGTCGAGATAAAGGCACAGACAGGTTTCTGTTATCGCTTTACCGTAACAGCAGCCTGGACAGCCCGCGATCGGACTAACCTACCCCCGGCTGAACACTCACCTTGCCCTGGTTGCACTGAACCCACCGGTAGATTTTCCTATGACGAGCTGCTGCACGGATAAATGAACCAGTCCCCATACCAAAGCAATGAATGTAGCAATTAAGACAACCAGAATTCCCTCGCTCAGCAGGTACAAGCCGAAATCGGGTTTTCTTTTCGCGTCATCGCACCCGTTACTCCCACTTTGGTCCTGAAAACCCTTACTTCTTCGCGACACATTTTGTTGCGTGTCCCCAGCTTTTATCCTCCTTACTGTGCTATCATTCTCCATCTTTAATACTGGAAATGCATTAACCTGCTTCGCTTGGGCAAAACCGAAACGGGTAGTACGGAGGGACAAACTTCATTAACGTCACACAAACAATTAACAGTGCGATGATGACTAAAGCGTTTCTGTGATTCACTGGTTTTATGAGTGATTTATGATTTACTCACATTTTAGAGCGTCTTTGTCATGAACACGAATTATCATCACCTGTATTATTGTAATGTCTTTGTCATTGGCCATATGAATTCACAGCGTGTTATTTTAAGACACAGACTGACAGTTGCATTACATTAACAAATTTATGATACTCGATAGGCCTAAAAAATAAAATAAACTAAACTAAAAGTACTTAATAAACTAAAAATTTACTACAAATTAACCAATAATCGATTACTGTGCAACACTCCCTATAACTGGAAAACATAAAGCTTCATTTAAATCAAACTTAAATCTAAAAAAATCTTTTCCGTTAAAATTTTCAAGATAAGTACGGAAGTATTTTTAAAATACTTATTAACTGCACAAATTGATCTCCGTGGTTTTACCATAACGGGCCAACTGCAGCGTCGTAAAGTCTTACACTAAGTATAAATTTTTATACTTATATAGTATTAGGTATAAAAACTGGTAGCCTGGTGTGTCTACATTAATAAGTTCTTTATTCTTGTCCACTTTACTGTTGTACCGTTATTATAATAGCAAAAACATTTATTTTAATCAAATGAACAAAATACTTTGCCTATAACTGATCGCTTGAAAAAAAATGAATACAGCTCTTTGGTGGCGTTGTGAGATTCCACCGCCTACAGACTGTTTCTGGTATTGCAAGACAAAAATCAGTATTTTAGGTGAACTGCTCAAAGTTCCCAATTTTACTTTCTCGTACAGAATTCACTGTTAGGAGTAATGGAAAAAATTAAATAATCTGTTGGTTATGCAAATATAGCACGATAAACATATCTGCCACCAATCAGCAAAAGATAATGCTGAAATTTTAAGGTTAATTAAGGAATAAATGTTGTGAAATTAAGATTTACACATAGGAGATAAACTGAGTAAAATCATAACCTATAGAAGTAAATAAATCAGCGTTGTTTTTAATAAAATCATAGGAAGATGTACAATTATATAACAATAATTAAAGTGGTAAGACATAAATAAATATATCAAACGGCTTTAGATATAAAAAGAAAAGATTTTGTGTGATAAGAAATATAATAATTACAACTGCGATGTGGTCTTCTTTGCGGTCTTATGCAGAACGACGCCAGTCAGCAGATCTCTTTCACGAGGTAATATTTTTCTCGAGGGCTGTTCAGAGCTCCTGGGTTTTCACGCTAATTAGTCCGTCTGAATAGATTTAAAGCGTGAGACTGGAACCCGTGACGGTCATGAGGGTCTTACTGTGGTCGGGTTCCCTCACACACAAGTGGAGGTTTAAGAGGCAAGTTAGAAATTGCATTGGTTTTCATTTGAACACAGCCACTTTTTGGGTCCCTAGAAGCTATCCTTGTTCATCTCGTTATCCACTTTTGGTAAGATTTTCCTTCCTTTCTTAATAAACAGCAGTCTTATTTATCAAGCAGATGACGGTTGATAGGTTTATTGGGTTAAGATTAGGCTACAATTTGCACTTGTAAAAGAGATCACTTCATTTCGTTGGGTTTTTAGCAATTTCTGAATTAAATTTAAGCGTCAGTTTATTTTAATTAATCAAGGTGCGGATTACCAAGAAACTAATACAAATGGCATTATTATATTCCAAAGTAGTCCAGTGAAATTCGTTTCAAAGTGAGTAATGCTCCCAGTACAGCCGAGTTAAGACAGGGTCCAGTTTATAAGGTTAGCTGGTTTCACCTGAAATTCCGATTAGCGTACATGCATTCAGTTTTAGATGTATGGAAGCCTTCCGTAAATAAAGAACAATATTTTCAATATCAGTTAAATATGCCGTTCTGTGATAAAGATCTAGGCTATTATACATTTTCGTGTGGTTTATACGATACCAATTTGAATGCGATGCCACATCAAACCATTAGACATACCAGTTGATTACGAATGGAGTCTGCGTTATTCATCCAGGTAAACCAGTTCAGCTGAGAAAACCTATTTAATTAATGAAATGTACTGGAATAGCATAATGCCGTTTCCATTAGGGAAATGTGTTTGAAATAGGCCTATGCTGTATGCTGTAAACATTTCCCAGACCTGTTTTCCTTTCATTAGGTGTCACTGACATTGCTGAGACATTGCCATGCCACGCAGAGGTTTTGATGTCCATTTTGAAAGTAAAGGCGGAGGATACTATGTCCGAGCAGAGGAGTATGCTTTTTGTAACGTATTACATTTATGTTCGCTGTCAGAGTTTCGTTGATAGTATTGTCAGTCGTAGGCTACGTCTTGTTATTAACGTCATCCTATTTTTAGGTAGTTTTTATTTGCCGATTTTGAATCTTTTGTATGTTTTGTATGTAAGCATCGCATTTTACAATATTTCTAATACACGTCTCGGTTATGCATATCCAACATGTTTTACTCCGTCATTCATCTGAGGGACTTGAACACCTGAGCAAAATGTGCGTTACAGGGCAGCTGCAATAGCCCTGCTCGTCATCGTCTTTGCAGCACTCCTCATAATCGGATGCTGGTACTACAGGAGAAGGAGCGGATACAAAATGATTCAGGTGAAGTGTGAATTAAGCATGCCATAATTACTATAAATAACTGGAGAGGTCCGTCTGACGTGCCCGCCGAGGCTATTACGCATGCGTACAGGGAGTTCATCACGCGTACTGAAATAGACAGTCATTAATGTGCTGGATTCAATATAAGGATTGATTTTACCTCGGGCTGCGGCTTTTGGTTGACAGGGTTCATGGAGCGGTCCATCCTGGAGGTCGCTTGCAAGGCCGACCCATCACAGCGAGGAGGGTGCGGCTGGGGGGAATAAAGTTGCCCTCGATGAGTTCACCAGCTTTCGTCGGGTGGTAAGATATCGGCCAAACCGGTTCTGTGCCGAAGGAAGAGGATGAACGTGGGATTTCAATATTTCCTGTTGGATTTTAGCAAGCATTTTGCAGCATTAAAATAAATGATCAGAAATATTAGGCAAACAGAACGTTTCTTTACTAAATTAGTTCAAACAAGTAATTGACTTTTCGCTACTGCACGTGTTAAGCACTTTATCGTGTCATCAGAACCAGTAGTTTATATGGACATGGTATTTTTAGAGTTGTGTTTCTTTCGTTATCTGTGAAGGGCCATTAACCAAGACAAACTCTGGGGAGCATTTTAATACCACTGGGGGAAGGGGCATAACTTCGTTTTTGTAACATTCAGGGGATTGAGGTCTCCACTCATTTAGGTGTAAACATGATTATTGGGGCAGTTGCATTAACTGGTTTTGATTTATTGGGGGGTTAAAGGTTTTAAAGGAACCAGTAGATAGATACTGAGTTGCCTTTGCTTTATTTCAGATTCCCAATGCCCCCCCGGCATATGAGAAGATTTCCTCTGGTCCTTCACCCCCCCCTTACTCACCATGAATGGCTACAGAGACCAACGGCAGTAGCACCTAACAGTCATCACGATCTTTACTTTCACTGATATTCTTTCATTAAATGTGTGGGACCACCTTTCAAACATCATTCCTGGCTTTAATCACAAATAATCAAAGCAAATGTCTCAAAATAACATACGAGTTGAAGAAAAAAATATATTTATATACACACAAACTAATCATTTATAGACAATGTCTTCTGTTGCTTTCAGTAAATTGCATCTCTTCTCTGTACTTTAACAGTAACTTCTTTAAGTCCCATCTTTTTTCCAGAATAAATGTGTTTTTTGGTGAAATATGGTTTGTCCCATGAAAATATGTAATAGGTAAGTTTTAATTACCCACACATTCAGAACTATCAAGAAAACCCAACCATTTTCAAGAGCGGCTTAACCAGAACTGTGGTGATAAGATCAAAAGCCTATCCTTTGCCTACAGCTTTGCTGTATTGGTGCTTTCAAGAAAGGACAGAAGCATTTATGGTGTACAAAGCACTTTTATTTCCATGCAGATATTTCTGCCATAACTTACCCAATGCAAATGGTCCAAAATACCTACTAAAATACTTTGAAAAAACCTATATGGTATACAACGGGAAATAAATATTTTCCAAATATTATACAATAAGTGACTTGAAACAGTATACAAGTGCACAATCATTCAGATGAATATCTAAAATGTAAAAGGTCACTATTTATTCCCAGAGGGTATATAAATAATTTAAAACTGGTCAAATGAAAAGTTTACAAGCAATCTAACAGACACACTAAGGTTGCAACATCTGACAAATGTTAAATGTGAATTTCTGCCTTACAAGGTGGGAAAACAAATCCTAAGACAACTAGCCTAAAATACGCGGCAGATTATTCACAAATGAAATCATACTGAATGGTTAAATATAAATGCTAGAATAACATTCATTTGCTACTGTCACACATACAACCTTAACAGAAAAGAAAATCCTGCAGACTTGAATTACATAGAGATAGGTAGACTGGCCATTAAATGTTTTCTCTATGTAAACCATGGACATTACGGTAAAATCAGACCCTACAAGGATTTCAGCATTGTTTTGTGTAAGAAAATCCATAAGCAAATCTTACTTATTGAATATAACTGAAGACTGAGAATTTCTTTTATGACATATAGTATTTTCTCTTTACTATATGCAGGGTTACAAAACATGTCATTGATAGTTTATTGTCCTCCAGAGAAGACTACCAATAATTGTTTTCACACCAGAAATTGGTTTTAGACAATAAGCAAGTTGAATCTTTTTGTATCACCCTTGCATTTTACACCTCAATCACTGGAACTTGCTTTTTCTGCATGTGCAGAGGTCAAAGGGTCATCAGTCTTCAAGGAAGGAAGCACCCTGCCTGTACTAGAGCTATGTGTGACAACCACAGTGGCCAAAGTCTTCGATGCTGATGGCAGACTGGAAACGGCGGGGCTTCTGATGGCGTTTAATACAGCGCCATCTGGACTAACCATGAGTTTATCGATGGAAGCACTAGTCACAGCGGCTGGAGCGGAGACCTGTGATGAAGGTCTGTTTAGAGTCTGGGAGAGAATGGTTTGACCTGGAGTCATGCTGGAAGATTCAGATGTTGGCGTCCTGACCGACTGACCTGTTGCTATTATGACGGTGCTATTAGACGGCGGTACGGTGGCTATTGGGGACGCCTGTCTCCTATTGAAGTCACTCCCTATAGGTAACACTGTCGCGACAGGCAGAGACTGTATCCTGGATATTGTACTGCCAATAGGAGGAACGGCTGCTGTAGGTAACACCTGTGTCCTGGAGATGATGGCACCCAATGCCGGTACAGCCGGCGTGAGCGTAGCGCTGGCTACAACATTTGCAAGTCCTATTTGCCAAGGTGCTGCTTTTGTGGCACCCGGTGGACGTCCTGGCTTCTGGGAAGCCAGTGGAGGAGTTTCTTTCGTTTGGTTACTTGCTGCTTGACACAAAGCAGCCAACGAGCCTTTCGCTTCGGCAGAGGGGGCCGAAGGAGCAGTCTGGGAATTAGGCAGAGCTTGGCACAGTGTGGATGCAACTGCAAATAGCTGTGGAACCTGCGCAACTGATGTGGTGTTGCCAGTAGGCAGTGGGGATTTAGTTGTGTTCCCAACAACAGTCATCTGAGGAGTAGAACATGTATAAGAGGAAGCCAGTTTAACACCGGAGGGTGATGGTGTTATATAAGGTCCGTGCAGGGGCTGTGTGCTTGGTGTGAATTTTCTTGGGTTCTGTCCAGCAGACAGTACAGGAGCTGCTGCAACAGATGTTGCAGGACCCCTCTGGGAAGTGGATGAAGGGTTTGGTCCTTGAGGAGATGACAAGGGCACAACTGGGCTGGATATGAGGAGCATATGACTCCCTGGCCCAAGTCCTTGAGCAGGGACAATGAACCGGGTGTTGTTGATAACGATATGACTCCCAGGTGACAGAGGGGTTGCAGTGTTAATCAGAATCTTCTGTTGCATGGTGTTGGATTCATATGGGGGCGGGACTATGGCATGTTGTGCTGCCTGGGGGGCACTAGGAGTAGTGCTAAATGACTTACTTGGGCTAGTGCAGTCTTGAGACTGTAAGACAGGAGGGAGTATCACAGGAGAAATTTTGAAGGGGACGGGTTTTGACATTGCTGATGCCTGAAATGGGGGTTTATTAAAGACGAGGCCTGGTATCGTAGTCCCTGTGGGGGCTTTAGGTATCAAAGCAGAGTCTTTGTTGATTAAACTCTTCACAGAAGAGGCCACAACACTCTTTAAAGAGCTGCCCTCTGATTGGGCTGTTGCTGTTTTGCCCACACTAGGAATCAAAGAGGCTCTGGATGAAAGAGAACTGTGCTGCAGGGAAAGCACTGGAAGTGTAGAGGAGACTAAATTCCCTGCTTTCAAAGCAGGGAATGTGACAGCTTTCCCATCTGATGTAGTTTCCACCACACTTACTTTGGATGTGGTTACAGGTGTGCATTTTGAATCTGATCCCGCTACAGGGAGGCCAACGCTGAAGGCCTCAGCTGGTAGCTTGTTGGACAAATCTGAAAGCCCACCAGTTGGAACTTTCTGCAAGGAGCTGGTTGTGTTGACAATGGCTTGACTAAGGTTGAGCCCAATCTTCATGTCTGCGATTTGAGATGCTGAAGTGAGGGATATTGCCATGGAGTCGCTAGACGTTGTTTTTTTTGGAATGCTAACTAGAGGCTGTTCCACAGAGGAAGATGCCTGACTAATAAAGATGAGTCGAGGTGCTGGAACGGTAGAGGAAGTTGATGGTACTTTTGCTGTTACTGCAGAAGTAGCAATGGTTGATGATGGAGCAACAAGGATGACCCTTTGCATGGAAGGCCGTTCAGCTAGTCCTTCTGCTTGTTGAGCCCTTGTAGTCAGAGGCTGAGTAGCAAAGAGTGTTGAGGAAGTCTGAGTTACTGCTATGTCACTTTTAGCTGAGGATGTCGGCAAACTAAGGTTGGTCTGAGGAACCATAGGCAATGTAGAATTTTTAGGAGTCAAAGTTTGTGTAGTTATATTACATTTGGATGCAGTTAATGGTGCAGAAATAGTGTCCTGGGTCTGGTTTAAGGCAAAGTTGACAATGTTGCCTACTCTCTGACCTGCACTGACTGGAATGGAAACAGCAGATGGGTGGTGAGATACACAATTTGTCAGAGAATTGCTAAATAAAGAAGGGGCAGATGATGTGGTAGTTTCTGTTGCACTGGAAACTACTGTAGAAGAAGCTACTGATGGAGAGGATTTGGAAACAAGGAAGGCTTGGAGGTGTGGGGAGATAGTGATGATAGGGCTGGAGGCTAAGAAGCTAGAAACAGACTGGTCAGAGGTTTGAACCTTCACTACCCCTGTGTTGCCTCCTCTAGTGGTGACAAGAATCGATTGCGAATCCCTGATGCATACAGTCTTCAGTTCTTGTTTGGAGTCAGATTTGCTGGGACTCGTCAGAGTGAGTCTATTTTGGATGTCACTAGGGGCAGGTCCTGCTTGGGAAACAGAATTACCAGCATAATAGGTCTTTGGAGATGTTGGTAAACTAGAAATAACGGCAGAAGTTAGTGGCTTCCTGTTGCAGGCATCAGGCAATGGGGAAACTTGCTGTATGGGGACCTTGTTTGTACTATTCACTGTAGCTACGCCAGGGGCATCAGGCAGTGTAGCAGATGGTTTTGAGACAGAAACTGTCGTTATATTGTGATGCAGAGGCTCTTTCATCGTAGGTAAGATGACCACCTGTTGCATGGCCTTCTTCCCAATTTTCTGGTCCAGCAGTGGCTGTAATGCAATCTTCTCTGGGGTGGTGCTTTTGCCGAGTAGGTCCATGCCCTCCGATATCTTGTAGATGCCCTGTACTGGACCCTGCACTGGACTCTTTGGTATGAATGAGGATTGCAGTGGTTTCCCAGGGCTTGCCAAGGGTTTTGACGTTTTCTGGGGAATCTCTGATTTGGGAACCATGGCAGCTGCAGCAGGCTGACTGATTAAGGTCACCTTGTTCCCGATACTCTTAGCTAACAAGGCCTGGATGGGCTTGGAGCCCTTCAGAAAAACAGCCACAGGTGCTGTAACCTTGCTGGTTTCTACGACCAAGGACTCTGCTGCTGGGTTTGATTCCTTGACTTCAGCTGGCACTGTAGTACTGGCTTGTTCCTCACCAGTAATTCTGAGTTTTTTTCTCAAAGCCAACTCTTCATCGGTGTTGCCACTCGGTGCCCGTTTAGTGGTTCTAAACGGGGTTCTGTGCTCATCCAGGCCTATGGTTTCTTGCCTAGGAGTGCGACTCCTCCGGGATGATTCCACGGCTTGCTGCTTAGTGTCTTCTGGAAAACAGAAATCAACAGATTAACAGCTAAAAACTGTCAGATATACAAGCAAAAAGGAAACAAAAGACAATCTGGAAAAATGAGGCCATAATCATTTTATCAATGCATATTTTCTCCCAGCCTGGTAGGAGAGTATTTACAATAACCATCTATCCATTCATCTCCCAACTGCTTATCTTGCTCAGGGTTTTGGGACTACATATCCCATTATGTGTAAGTGATAGCTGATGTCCCTTCCAGGAAGGTGACAGAGCCCCGCCCCTTTTATTATAATAAATAACTCAGTTCAGATGTTCATTTGGTACAAAATCAGGATACAAGTATAACTTTTGATGACAGCTTCCTAAATACCCACAGAAATAATGTGCACCTGAGTTAATCCAGTATAACCAAATATTAAATCAGACTTACACCTTTATTATGTTTTTATATCACGGAGTATCAAGACATTTCTATGCCTCGAGTTAAAACTTTCGACAGTCAAGTTAACCCTTTTTTTTTTAATATGAACACACAAGATCATCAGAATGTATATGCTGTGTGTGACACAGTATTTGTCAGTAATGTGCACAAGAGGCTCCCTGCCTTAATGCTGCATGCTTCCACAGATTAGCCACCATTAAATAACAGTACAGGCAAGATAGCCAGGAATAAACTCCACGTACATCTATTCAATATACCCAGACAGCACACTACGTCACCGGGATGTTGGATTAAGATCAGAACATCGTTAAATGACTGCCTTCCATTTAGTGTGTGTTTCGGCAAGTGCATTCTTTCAATTATTTTATTTTAATCATTTCAGCTTAACTGTTAGGCCTATTGTTACTGGTCCTGTAATGGTGTCAATATTTAAAATAATAAACATATAACTTCTAATCAGTTAAATTGTTACTGTGGTAAATGATTTTAAACTGTATGACTCCATGTGGGGTAAACAGTACAAATCTACCCTATAGTATATAAATCTGAATAGTATAACCATATTATGGGATATATAGTCTAATCGGAGTAATGTTGAATCAATATTCAGTAGCAATGACTCTGTGACGTTGTGCCAGTGAGCAAATGACCTCATAGAGATGGAATTTCAAGTATTGCATCATGTCATCGTGCCTATGCATGTTCGCTGTTTGGGTTGCTATGAGATACTGTATGCAGGATCACTGTGCACTTCAGGATGTCTATGTATATGCGTCTTCATGTCTGTATTTATTAGCATCGTCCTATTTATCCAAGTATGGTAAGTGAAGAGAAGAAAATTGCAAAACCAGACACAAAATCCGAGTACATTAGCTTGGTTTCAAGAAATGCTTCTGGAAATGGTTATGTGGCTGTGAGAGAACCAGGGCAGTGAGCAAAAGATTTATTTGGGAAAGTCTCTACATTGGGGGTCTCCGTGCTACACGTTGGGATGTCATAGGTGATAGATGCCGTGTACAGACCTGTCTTCACTGCATCCAATTTCTCAGCTCTCTCGGTCGTTTTTGGGTTATCCGAGGAGTGACCGTCTTTTGCCACAGCCCCATCTCTGTCATCCTCGATCCATTCCTCCCTGACGAAGCTGTCGTACTCGGGATGCTTTTTGAAATCCTCGTAGTCCTTTTTTAACCGTGCCCTGAGAAGAAACGCCAGTAGGGCTTTAGCATTGCCATCACAGGGGAAAGGTCAAAAGCCGCCTCGCTAAATGTTTGATATGATTAGCATAACATTTATTCCTAATACACCGTATTAACAAAATCAGGAGAGTAATTAAATGGAAAACGATTAGCGCCGTCGCTATAAAACTGGCAGGGCACAGTGTGCCTACCTGTTCCTCTGAAAGGCCTTAATAATCTTGCTCTCCCAGGGCGACAGCTCCTTCAGGAGCCTGATGAGAGTGATGAGCAGCTCCTTCACCGCCTGTCTCCTCGAGTACCACTTTCCCTGCAAGAGGCACAATTGTTATTCTCACACCGGGCCTTACTTACATTTTTCACATAATGTTCCCCTTTATTTCCTGTCTTTCGTGGCAGAAAATAAATGTATAATCAAGAGTAATTTTTAAGGGAATGCTGGCCTAAAGTAGTTATGTAATAACCAATTTCATCCATCTTTAAATTAGCTTCAAATACAAATTAAATAAGAAAATGTCAATAAAGGACAAAATTAAGCGAACATACTGGTTTTTCACAACACCTGAATAAAGTTTTCATGTTTACACATGATGGATATGCTTTAGAATTTTTATCCACTTTTAGTTAAGTTTAACTGCATTAAATGTTTGATTTACCGTGCATTATTAATATGTGCTGAAAGGTTCATCGGGGAACACTTGAGAACTTGGCAGGAATGTAAACATACAAAGCATGCAGTAAACAGAACAGTGAGCCTGGTAGTATTGTCATCACATTAATCAGTGAATGGTAGCAACAGGCAAATGTGACCTCATGCAGATAGCCGTACACAGGATACACTTTAACATGTTAATATCTACTATCTGCTAGATTTACATACATATTAATAATTAATTTTGTGCACCATCATCACCGTCATAATCACAGCCACAGCAATTCATTCCAGGTGGTATCTCCACTATAGCCAACAGCCTCATACACATTAAAAAGCACAGAAAAGGTCGATGTTCGCAGTTCTGCACTCCCTCTCTTACTAACAGATTTCTTTCTGGTGCTTTCAAGCTCTTCCAGTTCATCTTCAATTTTGCTGATCAGCTCTCTGAGTTCCTCCACACTGGAGCACACGAGCTGGAGAGGCACAGGAAGAGGAAGGAAAGATGAGGAAGATGCTATATAAGGATCACAGGCCTTCATTTTAGAATGATGCTAAAAGATAATGAATGCATGTCATAAGCCTTTAATATGTATGATGCTAAGTTCGATTAATTTAAAATATGCTTTATTTGGTATTGCTGCTTAATATTTGTGTTGTTCAATAGTGACTTTGCTGCACTGAATGAATGACTTACTGTCCAGCACATGGTATCAGTGAGAGACGGCCGTAGCAAACTCAAAAAAAAAAATCCCAGCACAAAGATGCATATAATCGCAAAATACAGCACAATGCAGATTTAACGAACAAACTGAAGCGATGTCTGCCGAGTCCCAGTCTGACATTTGTGAAAGTTTATTTAAAAAAAAAACACAGTGAAATTTTAAACATCGTATAGCAGGATCATACGTTTAGTTTTATTATTTATTAGCACTCATTACCACCCAAGGCACAAACCAAAAACCTCAATAAAACTACCAAAAACCCCAGTCACCATCACTGTGCTAAATGACCTAAGCTATTCAACAAACAGGCAGATTTATAAGTATTACAGAAAAACCTTTTGTATGAGGGATAATTGTAAACACAAACACAATCATATAAAGTTTATATACATTAACTCTCTGTATTTCTTGTGTTATCTTGTTTTCCTCCACTTTTCGTTATGAAAATAGTGTCTGTAATACCACACTCACAACTGAACAATGTTGTATCGTTTCCACTAAATAATACATAGATTACTCATTTTTAAGCAAGATGCTTGAGTATTACAAAAAGGTGAACAGACATCATTTCATCTCAGTTTATTATATTACTCTGAATTATTATAACCTAACATATTTACAAAATTCAACAGCACAAAATTAAGAATGTAAAATTACAAATCTACAAAACAAACTACAAGTGTACAGTGACTTCTAAAATTCTTTCAAATTATTTCAATTGGATGTCTATCCCGCAGATGTAAATTCAAAATTTGCTATTATTGTATTTCTTGACAAAATTCTATCTGACATGTTTTTATCTAGTGTTATACAGATAAAATGCAACAGCTAATTCTCATGTAAGACATTTACTTCATGTATTCTTGCTTATGTACCTAATAACCAGATACGAACCACAATATAAATGCAATAATAAAATTGCACTTGCCTGAAATTTTGGCTCAGCTGGTAGCTTGGGACCGGTTTTTCTCTTCTTTGCCGTCAACTTTTTGGACTCAAACTTTTTTTCTTAAAAAGAGACAAAAAAAAAAACAACATTCTTACTGTTAAGTCACAAACATACAGATATATTTTATTTAAATGGTGGGGAGGTATAATGTGGGAACAAAGATTATATCTACTGAGCCCTGTCAGCTATTTTAGAGTTTATAAACCTGATATGTAGATTACGATAAGTGATTGTGCTGCACTGTCTGTTACTGGCCAGAGATGATCTTAGACAGTAGCGCAACAGAAATATGGCGCTGGCTGGGCAGAACGGTCATGACCGCAAAACTCATCCACCCAAATGAACATCGCCAGCAAGCAGCTTGCTGCTGACCCCTCAGTATGTAAAGATGCCACAGTCACATTGGATTGCTGTGCGCTCTAAGCTCACACGCTCAAAGCAATCACAGAACCTCAGCGAGCTCTTCTGCCCTAAGCCTCCCCCCCCCAGCCCCGACTTGGCCCTCGAGTGTGTAAGTCGCAGTAAATCATTCTGGGATGGTGCAGAAGACGACGCCAGCAGAGTTGGAGCTGAGAGGAGAGCGAAGCCCAAAAACTGGTCCCGAGCGGGCAAATCAAATCCCTGGTTTCCTGCTGCAAGGAATCTGAGAAATTAAGAACTCGATTTTCATGATGAGTCAGGCTGCACTATGAGTAACGACAGTAATGAGTAATTTAGTAAAACAAGATGTCCAGGTGGCTGAGTGAGGTGCACTTATCTCACACCTCATTGGCTGTGTGTTTGAACCCCCCTGTTTGTGTGGCGTTTGCATGCTCCGCCCATTTCACGTGGGTTTCCTCCCACAGACCACAGACGTGCAATCAGGTGAAAAGATTGCCCATCGTGCCTCACCACGCATGGCTATTTGCATGTACCATCCTCACAGAAAGTCTTGGGATGCTTGCTTAATTCTCTAATAATGTTGCAAATTTATTGGTTTCATAACAAAAGTCCATTAAACTTTTTTTTTTTTTTTTACACATCTTCCGCACCAATAATTTCTTTTTAAGTGTCATAATTTTTTTGACACTCATTTAGTTCTGTTCTTGCCACTTCACTTTTAATTGCAATTGTAGTCACTGGCTCACACAGGGATACTAAACACAAATGTTTGGTGTTTTATGTTATTGCTAAGATATTACAAATTTAAAAAAGCACTCAGTGAGACTGCTTGTCAATTTCAATTTAAAGTTTTTAACTAACAGCATCTCTTTTAGAACGACAATTTTGGTTTCAATTTACTACTACTTTAAATGAATGTTTTACTTTAAAAGTACTGGTTGTTTCTAATGTAATATGTATTTCTCTAAACAAATGAATGAAGTAATGATTTCTGTTATAAAACCAATAAATCTGCAGTATTTTTACTGAATTGGGGAAACACCCCAAGAATTCCTGCGGGCGCTGTTTGTGCCCTGTGATGGCCTGGCATCCCATCCATGCCATACCCCCGCCTTACCCCCTCTGCATCCCAGTCATGGAAAAGATGAAGGGACAGACAATCGGATACACTGCACTGGGGATTCATCTTTAACTCCCTCCCATTCGAATTTGATGAATTAAAATACGGCTAAGGGGTGAATCGTTTGTTACGTGTCACACAGCTTTCTTCACCATGAACACACATCCTACCTGCCCTGAGCTTCTTCCGCTTTCCCTTCTTCTTCTGAGCCGCTGCGGTTTTCTGGATCCCCTTCTTGGTCGCCTTGGCCAGATTGAGTCGGCTACCAGCAGACTTGCCCCGTCCCTCGGTTGCACCCAGTTCCTTCATTTTCTTTTTCTTCCTTTTTTTTTTCTTCGTTCGCGTCCGGCTAGATTTCCCCTCGGCACATCCTTCCGGACGGGGAGACTCAGAAGGAGCCGTTTTGTGCAGCGGGATTATCGAGCAACCTCGGCGGTATTCCAGATGTGGGTCTTCGTCGGTGCCACATGCCCTACACTGGTCCTGGATATCGGTTGGAAACTTGTTTCCTTCCACGCGGTCCATGCCCGGGTTAAGCGGGATCTCCCCTGGATGTGCAGATAACTGTGTCTGTGGTACCTGTTCTGCATCCATCACCGGCACGCCTGGTTCACAGGACATTGGCGCAATTAACGACAAACGCTCCTCCTTCATCGTGGGTTTACATCCTACGTCTATGGACTGGACTTTAATACCCTTAATATCGCAAGAGTCAAAATGTCCTCTACATGGAGAGAGTATGTCAGTGTGTCCCTTCTCAGCAGATTCTGCTTTAATCTGAAGGTCCAGTCTATACTGTGACTGGTGATCCGTCAGACCCCATGAATTCACTGCAGGCATATTGTCCTTTTCTTTCATTTCTGAGTTGAAACAGGCAGGTTCATTCTTCACGTCTTTCTTCTCATTTTCTTCCGGCACCGTCGGTCCCTCAGGATGCATGGTGGCTTCCACCTTTTTCACCTTTTCCACTCTTCTAACCCGAATGGCTGGAGGGGGAAACTTAGGAGGGGTGCTTGGACTTTGGCAATAGATGCGCAGATCCGCCCCACAGAAATGTGGGAAATGAATATAGGCGTTCTCTCGCCCGTCGTAACCAAGGATGGACTCCCGGCATTCGTGGATGGGCTGGCTAAGCACCGCGTCCTGCACCTCCTTCTGGTTTTCATACACGAAGTCACACAAGCCCTTAAGCAGCCACACGCGCTGGTTGAATGGCAACTGGTGGAAGGGCTTCTCCTCCAGCGGGCTGGTCTCTCCTAGCGTCTGGAAAAACAGCGGGGAGAGGCCAAACTGCTGGGCACAAGCCGCCGAGTCCTCCGACTGCCCCATGAGCTGGTACCAGCCGGAGACCTTGTGCCGGACGGCCGCCTCCCAGCGGCGGTAGGTAAAGGGAGGTCGCCGGTGCAGAGTGGCTCGCCTCTGCGGGTGACACAGCAGCGACGTCATGACCTTGGCCAGGAAGGCGCTGCACCGCGGCATGAGCAGGCAGCGCTCCAGCTCGAAGAAGACGATCTCGGGGAGGTTGAGCACAGTCTGTGCCAGACACAGGAAGTGGCCGACGGCGGGCAGCTCCCACAGCGTCTCCACAGGCCACGGGGCGGCCTTGGCCAGCAGGCTCCGCTCCCAGGTATCCAGCTCTTTGGCGCTGGCCTCCTCCACCTCTTTTTTTTCCTGCTCCCTCAGCCTAAAGTTCAAGAATAAGCCAATATTAGCAAAAGATTTTCCTCCTTAAAATAACAAATCACTTTTTTCAGCAGTGTTGCTGGGCAGTGTTCCTGGGCAGTGTAGATGGGCAGTGTTGCTGGGCAGTGTTGCTCGGATGCTTTCCCAATGATATCGGGCAACAAATTTCTATTCGAAAAACTATAATTGGCAGCGGGCAACATTTTGCGATGATCCAGATCCAGACGAGTTGCCCTTTGTCTTGCCTTACTGCCAACTGCCCGGCAACATTGCTCAAAAAGTTGCCATGTGCATCATCACCTTAAGGTTCAAGAATATAAGCCGATTTTCCTTTTTGGAATAAATGCTTTTCAGAAGTTTGCCGACCAACCTGAAGTGCAGCATTCTATGTGGAAATTCATTGTACTGAAAATACAGTGAAAATTCACAGTTCTGGAAATTTAGTGAAAATCCAAATAGTGGTTTCTGATGCATTTACAATCATGCATTTACTAGTGACGTGTAAGTGTGGGAAGGCTGGGATCAGAGAGCAGGGTCAGCTACCCCTGGAGGTAGCTGGGGTTAATCGCCTTGCTCAAGGGCTGTGATTACTCTGCAGACCATGAGTTTTAAACCCACAACCTTCCATAACCTACTGAGTCACACAGCAGTCCAGGATAGATGTACACGGTCAGAATAAAAGTATTAATTAGTACCTTTGAGGGTACAATTACTTGTCAGTGGGGCTGTACCCTCAAGGTAAAGATACAGAAATGGACTCGTTTTAGTGCCATTGGGGGTACATTAATGTTGTTTGTACCTTGGGGAACAGGGCTGTACCCTTTTTTCCCCAACAGGGGTCCAGAGCCTATCCTGGAAGCTACGGACACAAGGCAGGGAACAACCCAGTATGGGGAGCCAACCCTCAGCAGCCTACTCTATAATATCCAATTATAATTGGTGAACTGGTAGAGTAACTGTAAAATACCCCATCATTTCAATTTAGGGGTTCACCCTTAACACTAATACAGACAAAAGTTGTGAATCTAAAAGATAAAGAAGTTTTGAGTTATCGGTTTTATTATTGGCATGATTCAGCGACTGTCAGCAACACTCCAAGGTACATCAACCTGAAGGAACCGGAAGCAAGCCAACCTCTTCTCTTCCTTGGCTCTCTGCTGCTCCTCCAGTCTCAGCGCCTGCACCATGAGAGACTCGTTGGCCCCCACGGCGACGGACGTAAGGTTACGGGGAGTGGAGCGGCGTCGCGTTGAGGTAACGCCGGGCCCTTTCTCCTCCTCCGTGCCAAAACGACCCTTCGAGGTTACGGCCAGAGTGGTCTTCTCTCGGAGAGTCCTGGGATTGAAAGGACAAATGTTTAATTGGGAAACAGACGACACTTTTCAAAAATGGCTGTGAATTCACTGAAATATGTAAGACCATGGAAAAGGTCTTCCAAAAGGTTCTTAAGGTGATGATACACTTTTTGAGCAATGTTGCTGGGCAACAACCAAACAGGTAAGACAAAGGGTAACTTATCTGGATCTGGATGATTGCAAAACGTTGCCCACTGCTGATTAAAGTTTTTCAAGTAGAAATAAGTTGTCCAATATCAATGGAAAAGTGCCCAGGCAACAATGCCTGGGAACATTTGCTCATAGTTGCTCCGTGTATCATCACCTTTAGGCTTCTAAAAAAGATTCATAATAATTTATGTACATGGACAACAGTGGAACAAATGGGCCGTGTTGTTTGAAAACAGCGCAGGGAGCCACAAACTCTGTTGTTTCCCAGTGTAGTCCAGACAACATTTGCTTTGCATACCTGAACAGTAGGATTATTATTATGCATGACATTACTGACTACGCATGCAGTAAAGGCTGGCACTGATGACTGGCTGTAGGGATATGGTGGTTTGCATTTATGAAAATATGACATTTCCGTACAAGGCTTCAATTTTATAAGTTGAATTTGCAACAGGTACTATTAAAACTTTGTACACAGGTAGGCTTCATCTTTGCCCCCCCCCCCCCTAAAAAAAGGTATTTACAAACCACTGAGCAAACCTTGACTATTAAAATAAAAGTGTTATGCATTAACAGTATAGAAAATTTACTGAACTGAACAACTGTTCAACCCACTGTACATAAATATCAAACAATTACGCTTTAAAGCGCACTCATTCTTCATATACCACATCAGTAATTTTTCAAAAACATTATGCAATGATATGTAAAGTAGAGATCTCGAAATTGCCTGTAGTGTGTGAGTCTTGCAATGGGGTGACATCCCATCCTAGGGTGGTGTGTCACATTGTGGGTTTGGACTCTGAGTCAATCTAGTGTTTAAGCATCTACTTTGGAATTTGTAGTATCTGTATCGTTTTGCTATATAGAGCTAAATTTTACACAATGTATCTAATGCCAATGTAAATAATAAAATAAAAATATAAAATGGCAGTCACATGACATTCACATCATATTTTTTTTTTATTAAGTGTGATATTAATTCTGGTTATTGTCTGGATAGTAAAGGGTACTTGGATATGCATGCTGATATTAGCTTCCTAAAGTAAGTGTGAATTATGCTTGCTAACATTAAAAGCTGCTTAAAATTGCAAAACATCTCGTATCGACTCACAGCCTTTCGAATTTCAAGACTTTCGAACTGGGTCCATACAATGAGACATACTGTTGGGGACTGATCAACAGTGCTCACCTGGAGAGCAAAGTCAGCTTCTGCTCCAGCATAATTTCTAATTTCTGCGCCTGTTTGGAGATCCAGTGGTCGACACCGTGGTACCTGTAACAATTCTCCAACATCAGCCTGAAGTCTGCTACAAACTCGGTGATGCTCTCGTATTCCCTGTTCAGGAACTTCTCCTCGATCCTGCGAAACCACATGGGCTGTTTGGTGTGATCTCCGTCTCCCGTTTCCTCCCCGCTGCACAGCGGCTGCATGAACGGAGCCGTGATTCCCTTGTGTTTCTCCAGCAGAAAGCCGTGAAATATCCTATGCGCCTGCTGCAGCTCGTAGCTCAGATCGTCATCTTCGTTTAACGTGCTTGAACTGTCCTCTGACATTTCAGCTACGGTATCTTCCGCTCCCAGGGTGTTATCCTCATTGTAATCCACAGTGTTATTTTCCCGGATTGAGGCTGGTGTCTCCCCATCGGTGCTTCTGTACTCGCTATTCTGCACAAACGCCGATCTCGGTGGTATCGCGGAGTCTGGTTGCGACCCTTCGTCGATTTCTTCAAAAGACACATGGTCGGGACTGTGCAAAATTAAATGTCTTTGTCTGTCCGCTTTGCTAGTCATTTCTTTATGCTCCATAACTTCACTTAATGATACCTTGGACAGATTAATATTTGTATCAGACTGCACCTTCATTTTGCCCCCTGCAGATTTGGCCAATACCCCGAATCAAGTATTTGCTGTTCTTATTATACGGTCTTTCAGATTAGGAGAGCATAAGGACCGCATCCTCCCTCAGATTACAGGTGCCGATAAAATCATCTGTGGCAGCATCCAATTTCAGGAGCCCCTGAGATTTACATTTTTGTCACGCTATTGACTTATATCAGTCTCCGATATCCATACTACAAATAAATACATTCATGTTGCATTGCATGACTTTTAATATTTTTTAATGCTTTTGCTTGTATATTTTTTTTTCAAAGGCAAAAAAAATTTGTCATTAACTCCACGCCACGATCCGGCGACAGGACTTGCATTAAAACTTAGTTAACTACTGAATCGGGGGAACTTGTCAAACGATCCGAGTCTATAGGCTCCAGGTCAGGGCCTGCATCAACCTGCCACAGAAAATTTCCCGTCACTTACATCCAAAACATGCACGAAGAACCCATTTGGGCCCGGCTTCATACATCCAGGAACCAGCGGTTCCGATTTACTTCCTAAAGCGGCAAAATCTGCTCTCTACTCTCCGCCTTTCCGATCGGCTCATTGTTTTCATCCCCGGGCCTATTCTGCTTTATTCCTCCATGTCATAAAGAAAGAAAAACAAGATCAGCGGACCACGTTTTTTTTCCGCCTTACGTAAAAAAGTTCTTACTTTCCCGCTAGCCCAGCAACAACACAGACACCGGTTCAAGAGCTTTAAGTCATTAGTAAACGCAAATCCTCTATTTTAGCGAGCTAGCTGTCTAGTTACGCTCAGCCAAGTTTGCTAACAACACTGAGCTAGCAGGCAAGCCTGTATTTACTAAGCCGGCTGACAAAACAATACATGTAACTTCCGATTATTTAAAATGTATAAAGCAGACTGAATACCATGTAGCAAAGGCTTATTCTCTTTGCGGGTATAATTTCCTTGAACGTTACTTTCAACTCCAGGCGCCGGACCTCTGCGTTCATGCGCCCTGACGTCACGCCGCGTCACGCGTCCCTCATAGTTATCTGTCTGCTGGCTGTTCACAGGGCCACAGTTTCCTTAGACATTCACGCGGAGGAAGATTTATATTTTTTATAATGTACTCTAATTATGCTATATGTCAAATGATAATCTGTGGCGACATCCTAAGTACATCAAAATAAGCACTCAGTGTTGTGCATAAAAATAACTTTATATATTGTACTTATCACAAATAAAAACGAAATTAAGATTGCATAGAGTAAAGTTTTCAGGTAGTTTGAATAGGCATACGTATACGTGTATTGGATGATATAGATTGTTTTGAACACCAAAAACGTTGCGTTTATATGGAAATACCAGAATCACAGCGATAGATTTCTACTAACCATTTTATAATACAACGCTAGATGACGCCATAGGGTTGTTTTTAATGTTGAATACAGACTTTTTTGTGTTAGAATAAATGTAAATTATTTAATATTAATAAACATATGAATTAAAGTACATTTTATACATATATGAATACACATACAGAATATTTAAAATAACATGTGTACCTCTACAATGCATGATAGGAGTTTCTATTGCCAGATCAGCTGTAAAATATTGAATGATATTAAATAAATGAAATTGAATTCAGTATGGAAGCATTAGTAGGGTTACTTTATAACTGTGGGGGATTCATACAGCACACATGAAAATAACATTATACCTGGAACAATGAAAGACCACAATGGGCAATAAAATCACAAGTATGTTTATGGACACAACAAAGTAAAAAAGGAAAGATGTGGTGGAGAGCAAATGGGATTGTGGCTCCATCCATGTAGCTACAGGTAATGAGTATCTTCACCATATCCAAAAGAATGCCAGGTAGAACTGAATACAGCCTGATTCTGCCTGTTATGATATATATATCATGATATATATATTTTTTCAGTGCATGGTGTTGCCAGTTGCAAGATCTGGGCTTTTGTTTTTTGAACTTTAAGGCTAAACAGACAAAAAAACTTTACATTGCTTGCTAAGAAACTCAGAAACATTTAAAGTTGCTCCAAAACTCAATGAATGAATACTTTGATTATTCCCCAAAACAGGACAATGCACAGGAGACGAATTGCCAAAACAAAATGTCAGTAAGCCAAGACATGTGCAAGCAGGTGTATGGCTTTACTTGGTCATCAGCTTTCATACTCTTTCGGTGCTCTATCAGCATTGTTACCCTTTCAGTTGCTGGGTGTATCATTGTTCAGTCATGAATAATGTATGTTACAGAAGCATGTTTTCTATCCAGTGACTAGCTCAGTGTCTTTGGCCAGGTTAGTAAATTATTTGCTTTGCAGTATAAGAATTGAGCTTTCATTGAAATACACCTCTTTAACCAATATTAATGTTTACTGTCCTTGTGTTACTGTAGATTGATTTGTTAGTTTTGCACAGAAATGAAAATGAAAGTGTTCGTTTCTTTGAAGCTTTGGCATGTAACAATCATAACAGTTTTGAATACATGGGTCAGAATATTGCTAATAAAAGCATTGATAAAACAATGATACAAAGAAGAGAAATATTATTAAAATAATGCAACGTGAATTATAATTTAACTGTAATGTTAGAGTACAGTGGGAAAGACTTTTGAGACATTGTATCTCGTCTGACTTTTGTGGCAGCTCCAAATGTCAAGCACTGCAATTTGTTGATAACTTCCAGTGAGGGATGTTTCACTCTTCCAGATGGTCAAAGATCTCAGAGCCGTGGTATCAGATGCATTGCCTTACCAAGCCTTGTCAAAATAAGAAACAGTATCCAATTTAAAGCAGGTAAGCACTCCAACAACTTGTATTAGATTAAGCCTTTCTTTTCATTTGTTGATCATATTATATAACTGAATGACACTTTTCACGGATATTCAAATAAGGATAAAACCAAGCAAAACTTTAACACGCTGAAATGATTACTTTTGCTGTTGAAAAGTAATTATTTTTGGCCTTCCTATTACCTTTGTTTGTTATATGCAACTTTTTCTTTCATGCAGAATAGTATGTCATTTCTGATCACACACATTTTAGAGTCGCCGAACGCTAAGGTCGCACACCTGATGAGCTTCATGTCGCAGCAGATGACTCCAGCTGACGCTTAAGACTCGCATAAAAATGACCGCTGTGTCTTTAAAGGGAAATTTATGCCGGATTTTATTTCGCGAGATTTGCTTGGCGCCGTGACCCCATGTGAGACACCTCCTGCAATAAACACCCTCTTCTGCAGAGCGGCTTTGCGATGGAGCCCTGAGCACTTTCGTTTTTGTTTCCCTTTTCCCCCCGTATCCCCAGAGTTGTTGAAAAGGTTTTTTTTAAAAAAAAACTTGACACATAATCAGTGGATATCTTACACTATAACGATGTGGATCCAAATTCGGACCATAGACGGCAAAGAAACGCGGACCATTGAGGATCTTTCCAGATTAACTAAAATTGAGTGTCTGAGGCTAAAGATTAAAGACATTTTCAACGTGAACCCGGAACATCAGCGGCTGTTTTACAGGGGAAAACAGGTAAGCGGGTTTTTTTTTTGTGGGAACCGTGATTTTGATCGTTCCGTTAAGTGCTTTTTTTTTGCTGCAGAATCGTGCATCTCTACCAACGTGCAACTGAGACTGTTACAGCTAGCTGTCTGCTAGGGTTCGGGAAACCGCTTTTAACATAACCCAGTGTTTCTGATTTAAAGTTGGGGGACGTACTGTATAACTTCACGTGTCGTGAATGCTTTTCTATCTACAGACTAATAAACACCTTAGGTACATGAAGCAAGGTAAGGTTCGGGTAATTTGTATGAATGAACTGGATGTTGGGAACACTTCAATTACAAGGAACGTTATTCTGAGGCATTTTATCACTTGAAAGATTTGAGTAGTTATTCGCCGATCTGTCAGTAATTATAGCAGTTATAACACTCGGGCATGCTATATATCGAAAACGGTTGAGCATTTTAGTAGCTATAGCCAACTGTATTTTTACTATTTTCCTGGGAAGTGTGAAATTCACATTGACTTATATGGCCTCATATTTGTTTTGCACGTTGAGTTTTAATGCTGTTTAATTATGTTCTTCGGTTAGAGAAATATCAAGCGGTCCACATCTGCTATATACAGTTTAATTTGTTTCTATGAGGCCCAATCAACTGATTAGCTATAAAACATCACGAAGATTGTGTTCATGTCACACGCATTGACTGTTGTAGCATCTCAGCATGATCTGCAAAGTTAGTTACGCTGATGAAGTCTGGACGTCTGCTTTTGAGTGTCTTACGTAAGTTGCTTAGCCAGTTAAGTGCCTGTTTACAGGACCTCTTGGGCGATTTCGTACACGTGCTTTGCCCATCTGAAGCAGAAAGTGCGGTGTTTACAAACCAGCTTTGCCATCGCCTGGCGCAGTCAACCTCATAATAAGAAAACGCTCCTTAGTATTACTATGTGTGCATTTTTGGAAGTGGGCTAAAGTATTTTTTGTGTGATTTTTGTATAACGGGATCCTAAGTCAATCACTAATGCATATAATTCTTATGATTTACAGTATGTCGGTCAGATGATTGTCGTAATGTAGGTGGTGCTCAAATCCAATAGCCACAGGCCAAGCTGAGGAGGGGTTTTCTGCTGTTGGACCTCCGGGGGCTGTCACTGAAAGTACTTAAGCAAAGATCAAATAAGTAAACAGTGCCGACTGAGATTAATTGTAGTTTTAAGTTGCAACAAAATTCTAAACTGAGGAGTTCGAGTTGTTAACAAGCTGCATCAAATAATCAGACGGACACTGCCGTGATGTTGGTTCCGGAGATTTTTATTTTTTTTCCTGTTTGAAATTTGAAAAGTTCAGTGACGTGACGCACGTCAGGCTCTGTTAACCCTCAACAGTGAGTTCTGCTTATTGTGGAGGCCCATTAATATTAAAAGCTGATATAAATTATTGCTATTTAAAAAAACAAAACAAAAAAACGTTATCCTCGAATAAAACTGTCATTTACACTCTGGTTATGGAGAGTATTTTGAAATTTGAGAGACAGTTTTAACTGTTATGTTGTTATGTAACCCCCCCCCCCCCCCCCAATGAATTACTGTTAATTGTGTATTGGTGTGTGTACAGATTTTGGGAATCTTGTCATTAGTTAAAATTTGTAACTGTAATTAGCATGATGTTTTGATAACAACAGATAGTTTAAGGCTGTCAGGTTTAAAGACATGATGGCGGCTGAGTCAGCACGTTAGGTTGCGTGTTGGTTGACGTTAATTGTCAGTGAAAGTGAAATCTCAAATTTAAGAAATTTAAGGACTGATGTCCTCACTGGACAGAGTCTGAACAGGCGGTTATTTTTCTCCAGCAGATTGCTGGGTAATAACAGTTCCTTTGCATGCTGGGGGGGGGGGAGCTGAAAATGTCTGCCATAGCATGTGATTGTTTTCCACCTAAACGCTGGGCCGCCTTGACCCGCCCTGCACGAAGAGGCGGCTACGGACACTCTGTAAACCAGCCGACCGCCGGCCTGAGTGTACGAAATGGCGAAACGCTGCAGAAAGGCTGTGTTGTAAGAAGATGCTGTTTATTTTTATGACTAAATACTGTGACTCGTTACTGGGGGGAAACGCAGGAGGGAAAATGTTCAGCCACAACCTCAGGGTTGACCCTGTCAGACACACAAGGCAGAAAAAGGTGACTGTTAGCCATTCATAAATACAAGGACGCCGAGATCCTGAGTCAGTACCCTGAGCATGGAAAAAAAAAAAGGCGCCATTTTGAAAGGGATTTTGTTCCCGACAACACATTCTCGTTCTAAGAGGGTGGCAAACAGCTCATTCTTTACATTACTTTGCATGTGGAAATCCCCCACCCTAACCCCCCCCCCTCCCCCTTAAAGCAGAAAGGGAGGAGGATTTACCCGACAGAATCTTAAAAGACCATTGGAAAAACAAGTTTCCCATTAAACGGAGCTATGGAAGAGGAGGGCGTGCGGTTCAAATGAGCAGTATCATGACCAGCCTTTATCTCCATGTGTTTTTAATGGTGAATGTGTTGGTTTGGGCAGATATATTTGAAGTGGCTTGCAAATTATTGCAAGCATATTTTAAAATAAGCATGTGCTACTCCTCATGATTTTTAATAGCATTAAAAAAACAATATCTTTGTCACTTACTAATTTAATACAAATTCAGCCTGGTTTGACCTTAGGTGAAGGAAGGGAAGAATTGGAATGAAAATGCCTTTTAATTTAGTGTCCCTAGAGAAATAAATTTTAAGGCGCGGTGGGGATAGCTATGTCTGCTCAGAGGACTAAATTACATGCATGTGGGGGGCATCTTGGATTGAAAGCAGCCCCCGTGATATCTATGCAGCCTGCGTACATGGAGCGATCCGCAATTATATATGCTCCAGTTTAGTTCTATTTTGGAAACCATTCTGAACCGTGTGGTGATTAATAGAAACCCTAACCCTCCCTTGTCATCTCCCTCGAACCCTGTGGTTTTGTAGGTTCAGTCGTTCTGACCACAAAAACACGCTCATCCTCCTCACTGCACAGTTGTGCCTATATTGTTCCGTCTGTGGCACTTTTATTCATTAAAATCCTCATGGGCTGTGAATATGTTGACCGGTGTGGGGAAAGACCGGCAGTATAGACTTTGTTTTAGTATGAATTGCTGTCGTGGGATTTTAATATGAACTTGCCGTGTGGGTTTTATATGGGTTTTTAATGCTCAGAATCTTAATTTAAATAAACCCCCTAAAACATTCTTTAGCCATGTTAGAACTGCTGAACTGATGCTGATTTCTTAGAAGTTTTCCTTTTCCAAAGAAATCTATGGTTCACTTTCCTGAAATACATTCAGTATTTAACAAGAGCATTTCCGGTTAAGTACCTTGATGCGAAGCTCAAGGGTAGTAGAGCAGCCTCCTGGGGCATGAACCGCTACGCTACCTATGATCTCAGATCGTATCGCACTTGAGTCCGTTCATGTCATAGCATAGCGCTCTTGCTTGGTCATTCATCATTGAGGTTTACTGTAATTTAGTATGTCCCCAGGCCACAAAAAAAAGCCTATTACTATTAATGCCTATTACTCTGACTCAGGGTTTAAATAAGATGTTACTGTAAGCGGTGTCACATTTGAGTAAACTTTTTCTCACATTGACATTTTCTTTGCAGTCCATTTTCATATAATGTTTGTACAGCAACAGTGAATGTTATTCTGTGTTTTAGTGCTGAGATCCATCCTACAAGAAAATGTTACTAAAATTCATTATTTACTATTTATATACTATTTAAATTTATAACCTTTTAAAAAGATACTTTCCTTGTAAAATATTTTCTTAAATAGTAAATCATTAACTATAAGAAACATTTTCGTAACCTGAAATAAAATACACAAGTAAGCTACAACTAAATGAAAACTATAAGCATTGTTTCTGAAACAAACTGAAATAAACATATGTCAAACGCTTTCCATTACCGTTTTTAAATATTATTTTGTGTTGATTTCTTTGCCTCAAATGACCAATAATGATACTTGGAACATGGTTTGCATATTTCATATGCACCAGTCACCCACCCACTCCAGTCATCGAAATTTAACAGTGGGGAACGGGCCGATCGTCTGCAGTGGGGAACGGGCCGATCGTCTGCAGTGGGGAACGGGCCGATCGTCTGCCCCTCGAAGACTTTACATGGCTCTGATGTGCAATGTGTACATATGTAGGATTATAAAGTTCAGAAACTTGAAATAACTCAACTTTCAGCTTGTCCCAAGAAATGAAATTACTTAAACTGAAACTTAATAAATAATTATTAAAAATTAAACCTAATAAAACTCACCTTAAAAATTTTCAAATAAAAATTGAAAATATAAAATTAAAAACAAAATTAAGAAATCAAGCTATAATAACACATATAATACAGATAATTATCATGATGTAATTGATTAAAAAATTATCGTGATAAAATATTTTGCCATATTGCTCGGCCGTAATCTCCAGTATATACAGTAGAAACTTAAAAAATATAACTCATCAGTTATTTTGAGATGTACTGTAGTAGTATTACTTAAAGAGGCAAATGTTCCCAGAAAAATAATCAAACATGGGTTTGATGAGTCATCCAAAATGCAAAATTTGGCCTTTGTTAATTGTTAAACAGGAGTTATAATACTGATGTACTGATGTATAATAACAATGTACACCACCCAAAAAAATAAAAGCACAGCCTGTTTTTAGGGTTTAACAGCAACATTTACAAAAAACACAATACCTCAAGCTGTCGTTTAGCCATGTAAGCATCTGTTTTTGTTTCCTGGTAACTCATTTGGTATATTGTTTTGTTCTTTTTTTTCCACTGGGCTATTAACTGCACAAATTGAACAATTCAAATTAGCTAAAGCTGAAACATTTCAGTGCTCTTTTCTCTTGTTTAAAACCAAATTCCCCCCCCCCATCAAGCACTGAAATATGTTTCCAAATTTTTAAAGGCCTTTCAGAATGTCTTCTTCCTCTGATCGTTAAACTGTAAATTGCC